AAAAAAAAAAAAAAAGAAAAGAAAAGAAAACTTCTTTGAAATAAAATAAGTAGTCAAGTCACAAACCAAAAGTAAATATTTCCAAGCATAAATTTGATAAGGAACTTTTATCCAGAATATGTACAATATTGTCATGGTGTAATTACAGGAAAGCAAGCAACACGATAAAAAGTAAGGAAAACGTTTGACCAGACACTTTAGTAAAAATATGTGAATGGCAAATAGGGATATGAGAAGATGTTTTGCATCATTTTTAATTTAAACTACAGTGAGATACCACTATAAATCTATTAAAATTATTCAAACTTTTAAAAAATGAAAATATCAAATGCTGATGAGAAAGCAGAATAATAAGAATTCTTAGTGGTGGCAATGCAAAATGGTACTTCCATTTGGGAATACCATTTGGGAGTTTTTATACTGTTACAAAAACCTTTACTATATAACTCAGTGATCTGCCTCTTAGGTATTTACTAAAAGAAATAAAGGTATACCCATACCAAAAACATGGATGCAATTTTTTTTCTTTAAGTTTATTGGTACTTTTTAGGTATACAGTAGTTATACTCATCATTGGGATCATGTACCTTTACATGATGTACCTTGGTTCTTATGTTTTCCCCATAACCCTGCCCTCCCTTCACCCCCTCTACCCTTCCCTGTTTACAAAGACTTTGTTTCCATTTTTTCCTTTTCCCATATTTCCTTTTTTCCCTTCCCACTTCCCCTATTCCTTTAGCCCTTTTCTTCCTATTTCACATCAATTATACAATTTGAACCTTATTTACACTTTTAGTTTTTCACCCCAGAGAAACTATTCAGTATTTATACGTGTGTCCTACTTATTTCACTTACTATTATGGCCTCATTATGGATGCAATTATTTATTTTGGGTTTCTGCATAATCACCAAATCTGGAAACAGTCTGAGTGCTTATGAATTAGTAAATAGATAAACAACTGTGATGTATCTACATAATGAAATGCTGCCTAGAAATAAAGAGGAACAAAAAATACTGAAAATTTGTAACAATATGGATAGATCTTAAGAACATTAAACTAAGTGAAAGAAATGATACTCACAAGGCCATGTACCTTATGATTCCAGTCACATGACATTCAGGACAAAGCAAAACTATCCAGATAGCAAAATGGCAGTTTGCCATGGGTAGAGTGGAAGAATGGGGTTGATAACAGAGGAAGATAAGGGAACTTTCTGGGGTGAGAGAAATATTCTATATCTTGAATATATAGTAGTAGTTATAAACTTTTATACACTAATCAAAATGAATAGGACTAAATAGTGAATTTAATACATGTAAATTAGACCTCAATAAACATGATAAAAAGAGAAGAGGTACTTATTGCTCATTACATTTGAAAAGTTGGGGTGTTTTCTGGTTTTAGGCAAATCTGGGACTGAGTGCTAAAACAACTTCCTTTTCTAGTCTCACTTGCCCTGTTTCTTTCATTTTGGCTCGTTCTCCCCAAGTGGTGGTGCCCACTAGTTGCTTCCGTTATTCAAGGATCTTTTTCTGCTTATACATTTAGAACAAGATTCTTATTTTTGTGCCACAATAGCAGTAACCTCCAAAGGGCACCGATTAGCCTTACTTATTTAATATCCACCCCTGGTCAAGCAAGACCTGGGCCTTGGGAAATAAGTTACTCTGACATGGCAGGAGAGACTGCTACATCAGAAACCCTTGGTGTGGTAAGGGAACAAATTTCAGATGGAAGGAGATCCAGGCAAGCAAAACAGTCCTGACATCTTCATTTTTAAGTACTGCATACAGTGATCTACTTGCTGTTCCTATCACTCCAAAATTCTTTCAAATTGTGTTCTATGGAATGTTTACAGCATGTTTTCTGGATTTATGGCTTTCCAAATGTATGCTATCCCTTAAAAATATTGCAACTTAAAAATATTGCAACTTCTATGGATGTTCCTTGTAAATCGCTCCCTTTTTCATAGGAACCCAACACAGTGTATTTGGGTTGGAATGCTTCTCCAGTGCTGAAAGAATGACTCGAAGGTGGGCTGTATTTGACCTCTCCAGTTGGTAGTGTGACCTGCCATTTGGGTGATATCAGTCCTAGGAAGTAACATCACAACCCACAGTTGCCTGGTTCTCAGTTGACTCAATCATCAGTTGCCTGACACAGAGCAAGAAAGGACAAGATGACGAAGTGTGCTGGACTGACTTTCTGACTTGTACAATTAACCTCATCACATGAGCCTAACCTCCATATAGTGGTGCCCCAGCTCTGAGCTGCAGAGACTGATTACCCTGTTGGTAGTTTTGAGACCCTTCAGAAAGCAACAGTTAGATTTGTGGAAGAAATGTAGAAACTACCTAGTAAACAGCCTAATTTTACAAATGAGAAAACAGAAACCCTGAGAGGTTCTTGCTCAAGAGCTGGGATTTGAGCCTGTACTTTCTGTCTACTGAACTGTCCTTTTGCTAATATTTCCTAATGCTCATATCTTGCCCCCTGTTTAGAACAGATGCTCCTCATTTTCTGATGGGATTATGTGCTGATAAAAACCCACTACAAATTAAATTATTAGGACAAAAGTGCATTTAATATATCTAACTGAACATCATAGCTTAGCAACACAGATCATAGCAAGGTATTTTTGTTTTTGACCTTCATCGTTGTGCAGCTGGCTGCAGTTCTCTTTGGCTGCTTAGCATCATATTATACTGCCAGTTAATAAGCTGAGAAAAGACAAAAATTTGAGGTACTGTTTCTACTGAATGAATCTTCCCTTCCCGCTATAGTGAAGTTGAAATACCGTAAGTCAAACCATCAGCTATTACAGGGATGGCCTGCAATAGGTTGCAATATTCACTATGGAGAGCATAGTGAGTTTTGCAATCAGAGTGACTTGCACTTAAATCCAGGTTTTTAAAGTTATTGTCTGAGTGACCTAAGCCATTTACTCAACCTTTTTCCTCAACTACAAAATGAGACCAATAATAATATCTCCTTCAGAAATGTATTGTGCAGAATAAATAAGATTTTTTTAAACAGTATAATAGCTAGCACATAGTTTTTACTCAGCAAAGGTTAGCTGTTTGATCTCTTTGGTGTCTCTTTGGTCAGTGCTTCTGCCTTAGTTAAGAAAAATCATACATAGAAGAGAACAAAACCTTTTCAAGCAATGGAACTAGCAGGACTAAAAGATAAATTTTGCAATGAACTGTTGTGCAAGAAAATATTGGTTTTATGAAAACATCCCATATCAACATGAGATACCATGAAACAGAGAGAAGGGTGATAGCTTCAGGATAAGAAAAGCCACCTTTAGAATTTTGCTAAGTAATGTTGAAGTTCACTGCAGTATCATGATCTCTTAAAACCCTATGATGATACAATACAGGAAAAGTCAGGTCAGGATTTGAGTAGCAAGAGAACAGGGTAGAACAGGAAAGAGTAGCCAAAATGGCACAAGATTAAAAGAAAGTGTAGGAGTATTCCATATATATGAAGTCAAGAAAAGGAAATGAGAAGGCAATTTGGGATCGGGCAAATAAAAGGTCAAGTTTAGATCAGTTGCATAGACAAGTACTATAAGTCAAGGCCATGGTGGACACAATAGCAAGAACAAATAATAAAAATCAAGAAATAAATGAAGGAACTGAATCTTACTCTAAAGAGCTGGGACAATATACCATTTGGTCCTACATGGGAATTACTAGCAAGGGGCATGCGTGCTAAGAAGTGAACTCATCTTTGCCACTAAGTCAAGGATTCTACACATTTCCTGCCAGGACAGGACTGAGGCAAGAATACTGCAGAGTCTACAGTAGGTGAGAAGGTGCCCCATTTGTGAAGGAAGCTTTTCACAATCCTCAAATGACAAAAGATTTTCACTACTCATATAGTCTGAAATAGAAATAAAGAACAGAGAAACATGATTCCAGAAGTTATAGATATTTTGGTATACATGCCCAGAGGCATTTTAAAAATATGGCCATGTTTTTTAAAACTAAGAAAATAAACTGAATGCATTACTAATAGAGATTACACCAGACTAAAATTCAACGGATAAATTTAGACATTATTTCCAAGAGTACTCTCAGGCTATTTGAGTGGAAGTGTGGTAAGGTGGAAAATATCTTTTCTTTTTAAAATTAATTTCATTGGTACAATTTAAATATGTATAATGACCACATTCATCAAGATGGATTTGTACCTATACATGGTATATCTTGATTCCTCTTTTTCTCCCAATCCCCTCCCCTCCCTTCAATACCCCCATCCTTTTTTACAAAAGTTTTGTTTCTATAATTTGCTATTGTTCAGTGAAATTCAGAACTAGAAATCCAGTAGTCACAAATGGTTTTGGAACCACAAATTTGAAAAGATATATAAATATCCCAGAAGGG